TAGATTATTTTCTCGTATTAAATTTACCAAATCTTGATATTCTTCTCTTTTTTTGCTACAACCTTTAATATAGTATATCAAATCAATTATATAATTTTTTAACATTTTAGTTTCGTATTTGGCACAATGATCCAAATGATATTTTGTAAACAATTCGTTTTTAAAATGACTGTTGCATGGAATTTCGTCGTAAAAATAATCCATTAATTCTACTTTAGGAAATTTCAGTTTGTTTAAATCAAAATATTTAACATTTTGAAAATTTTTTAAGATCTTGATTTCCATTTCGCCTCCTTTATAAAATACTACATTTAAAGGATATTTTTTTAAATAATTTTCTAAAACATTGATCACATCTGAGCAAAATATAATATCAGAGTTTGCTTCCATGGAGAGATAATATTCCAAACCATGTATAAATTTTAAACAATATTTGAAAGTATTTTGATATTTTTGATTAATTGATTCAAAATTAGCACACGGCCACACTTGAACATGATAATAAAAATCGCCGTTTATTTCACGTAAGCATAACTCTCGTACACAATTACTACCCCAAACATGATTATTTTTATACTCATTAGCAATGTGTTCAATATCCAACAGCCAAAACTAAAAAAAAATAACAACATTTTTTAATAAAAATGAAACGCATTCTTTTTTTAAAATTTTTAAACATGTATAAAAAACAAAAAGAATAAATATTATTTAAAAAAATAAAAAAATGAATCGAGTTGACAGCATCATTAGAAAAATTCATAACAATTGCGCTGTTTGCGCATTAGATGAAATAGCCAAAAGATATCAATCTCAAGAAAACAAATCCGGAAACTCTTCACCTTCATCTCTAGTTATAGACGAGGAACATTATAAAGACGCATCTTCAAATGATTTTCTTGAAAATATTTTAAATTCAAAAAGAATCACATTAAATTCTTATTCTATTGAAAAATGCTTTAAAAACAGTAAATTTAAAAATTTACTCGACCAGCCACAACTATGTCAATTTCACTTGAATAAATTTGACAATATGAAAAAAGATCATCTTGACGAAAATGTTATAGCTGATTATTACAAATCTAAACTTAAAGTTTTTTTACTCGAAAGAGATATTAAACCTATTGTTCCATTTGAAGGTGATCAAACAGACGGATTCATCGATACTTTTACAGCAAAAATATTACCTACCGCTTCAACCATCATAGAAAAACTAGATGGAGTTTTAAAAAAGAAATCTGTTAAAAGAAACATTGAAGGAATCATAAAAGACGGCACGTCCGATAAAAAAACATTATTTGTTAATATTTTACACGCTATTGTAACATTATTTATTTCAAGTTTTTTTAGTTTAGAAAAAGAAGAATAAATGTGTACTAACGAATCTTTGTCAAGTTATTTTATAAATGAACCCTTTTTGAAAGATTATTTTATAGGTGTTTACGCTTTTGACGAATTGAGTCAAACTCAAACGCACGTAAACATTATTAGGCGAATGGTAAAAAATGGTTCTTTTTTTATTTATAATAACGAAACTATCAAACAAAATGGAGAACATTGGAGACTTTTAGTCAAATTAGACGCTAATCATTTTTTTTGTTTTGACAGTTTAGGTACTGAAAGCTGTTTAAAACAAATTCCACTTTTTTTAAGAAGCAATAGACATTTGTTTGAATCTGTAGAAGAAATACAAACTAACATACAAATAAACACTCTAAACATTAATTATAATGAGATTGAAATAAGTTCTTACATACGACAAACTAATCACTTTCTTTACGAATGGACAGCTGATAACCATGAATTTTATTGGTTTACAAAATTTATATTAAAATGTAGTTCAATGACGGGTCAACAAACTATTTTGTTTTCTTATAACAAAAATTGTTTCCAATGGGAAAACAGTAGTTTGTGCGGAGCTTTTGCCGCTTATTTTATATCCTTGTTACCAAACTATCTTATTAACGGTCAAATTTATTTACCTTTGTTGTGCAGATTACTGAACTATCACTTCTATGAAGTTTCATCTCTTCATGCTTCCGAACTAGCTCAAATAAATTTGCTTCCATTTTTTCACTTTGTTAGAACTAAATTATTTAAACACTTGGATGCTACTGCTAAACAACTTTTTGAAAAAGACATGAAACTACATCTCTATTTAAGAAAAACTGAGAGTCTGGTACGCAATAATGTATCAATGAAAACAATGAAAATTCCTATAGAAAATGACATTTTTAAAAATGAAGTCATGATCAATAACAAGATTAGAAGCTTTTTAAACGATGCTAGATTATTAAGAACTAACAATTAATGTCAATGGGATAAAATATTTATTCAAGATATCAATGTTATTAGAGATGTTATGAACGAAGAAAACCTTGCTTTAAAACGTTACGAAAATATGAACGATATGTATTTTTTCGATTACAGAAGATTAAAAGATATAAATAATTTTATTGACGTACCTCAAGATGATGTCATGACAAAAAAAGAAATAAAAACTCTCTTTGTTCAAAATTTAATATAATAAAATGTCAACAAGTATACAGAAAGCAGCTTTATGCAAAATTCGAGAAAAAGTTATAGAAGAAATTTGTGAATCGTGCGCTGGAAACGGACTATTATATATCGTTAATTTGCAAGATCCGAAATTGATAAATTATTTAAAAGAATGTACGAGCACCGTTTTTAACAATGAAGTTTGGCTTCTACATAAACCAACTCAAACAAAATTCGAAATAAAAACAAATAAACTACTATGTGATGTGTGTAAAGGAAAAAAAAAACTTTTATTAAAAAAACACAAGACACAAGAAAAGAAAATAAATTTTACATTGTATGTTAATTTTATTTAAAAAATAAATGTTTTTTTACATTAATTTTATTTAATATACTTCAAAACTTTTATCCGCTGGTTTATATAAATTAACGGGTGGTTGAATTGCAACTGTTTTTGTTGTTACAACAGGTGTTGATTTTTTCCCTTTCCATGCTTTTTTTAAACTGTATAATAATGAACCCACTTTTAAAACATTAGTTATATTTTGAGGTGTAACATAGTCTGATAAACCACGAGCGCGTTGTTTTCGTTTAACTTTACGAGCACGTCTTTTTTTTATTCGCATTCTTCTAACAACCATATTGATAATGAATCCTTTATAACTGATACAAAATCATCATATTTCATACTAAATACTTTTGTAACACTCATATCAAATACTTCGAATATAAAATCAATGTTAGCTATATCGTTTGAACGAGTTACTTTTATTTGATTGCTACCGTCAAAGCGAAAAAATAACTTGAAGTTACCATTTACATCTTTCAAACTATCGTTTGTTTGTAAATTTTCCAAATCTTTAACATTATAAAATTGTAAAAGAGATTCTTTAAAAGCAGTTACGTCCATTTTTTTAAAATAAATCTAAAATTTTGTTTTTAAATAAACATTTTTTTCTTCTTTTATATATACCCTTTTAAAAAAATAAAAAAACAACAGTATTAAATATATTATTTTGTTATAGGTAATTCATAACCAATATATATATCGCCTTTATTTACATGTCTAATAGTATATAAACCAGAACGTACTTTATAATCAATAACAAATCCTCCTAAAAAAGTAGAAATGTCTGTATGTCCTTCTTTTTCATTTCCACTTATTATTTGACATATATAATCATTAAAATATTTAAAAGTTAATATATATTCGCCATAACTTGTTACATCGGCTCTTATGTTATTTAAAGAATATTCACCCATATCTTCAAGTAATAATTTATAAAACTCTAGATCATCTTTAATAATATTAACGTATGCGTTAGTATAACAACTGATACAATGTTCTTTTCTGTGATATCTTTTATTAGCATGTTCACAATAACTATGTTTAAACAAACAACCCTCATCTAACGACATTCTTTTTTAAACTAAATTTTTAAAGTTTATAAGTTATTTAAATAACTTGTTCACAGGATCAGCAAATGGATTACTTAAACCGCCTCTTAATCTTCTAAAAACGTTACCGCCAAGGTGTTTTTTACCTTTATTAAAAAATTAATATTTTTTATTTAAATATATGTCAAACATGTAAACGTTTACAAGTTTTTTTCCCTTGAAAAATCTCATTTTTTTAACTTGTAAAAAGCTTTAAAAAAAACTTATATATTTTTTAAAAAATATTTTGTGTCACCCGACACTGTCCTTACTTAACCTGCCTTACCTAACTTGTTTTGTTTTTCTTAGTAGGCCTACTTATTATTTTTACTCTATTGTTTTTTTTTACAACCGGTTGTTTGTATCTTACTTACTTACTTACTTACTTAACCTTACTTACTTAGTCTATTATTTTTGCCTTACTTATGCCTGCTCACCCGTTCGTACATACACGCTCGTTCACACACGCTCAGGCCTCACCGAGAGTATGCTTCTCAGTGGGGTACAATCATCAAGTATCAATGATACTCAATGTGGTTCACATATAGGACTCACCGAAAGTATGAGCTCTCAGTGGGGACAGTCATCAAGTAACAGTGATCTCACCGTAACTCAATGTGTTTAACATATAACTAACTAAACTATCTAGACATACGTCATCAAGCGTTCGCTCAATGTGTTTATACATATAATGTTAAAGCCGTAAAGTTATAGAGAGATTCGAACCCTAGACGATCGGTTCATGGCGGTTTACAACATAGTGCGGAAATGATACGATGCACTATGCTACGTCGACGTGTTGTTTAAGCGTGTTTTGAATTCATTTAAATTGTCATTTTAACACTTTACGTAGAGATTTATTTCTACACAGAGTTTTTTTTAAAGTTGTTTACGCACATTTTAAGGGAAATTCCCTGAGAAATTTCCTATATAATCCTACATAAAAAGTAAGATTAAAAGTTTCTAAATATAACTTGTTTGTCACAAAAATCTATTATTTTACTTAATCCATAAAGATTAAATATTTATGTATAAAAGATGCATTTTTTATATCAAAAAAAACTCAAATGGCAATCACTAAACGTGTAACTAAATCTCAAAAAAATATGGAAAATATTAAAACAATTGTCATCCCTGATGACGAACAACTAGAATTTACTCCTGTAGATTTAACTACAGAAGAATTTTTCAAGCAATTGGACAAAAAAACAACGAATGAAGTTGTGAAAGATATTTCAAAACAAGAATCTACAGTACACTTTCAAGTTAAAAAAGTAAGATTTTGTTATATAAAAATATTAATCTTTTCTTTTAACTTGTTTTAACTTGTTAAAAAAAAAATAATTTTTTTATTTATTTATTTTAGAAAAAAAGCAAATACAAATTAAAAAGACAAAGAGAAAGAAAAAACAAATATATGATACAAAATATAAAAAATGACATTATTGAGTTAAATAATGTATTTTCTAGACAATGAAATAAAAATTTTTTTTACAATTTATTTTTTTTCTTTGCTTTTTTTAACGCTGCATTTCTTTCGTGTTTTCGATTAACATAAGCTTCGTTTGATATTTTCCATCGTTTAACTTTTTTACCAACGCGACCTAATTTGCGATTAGATTTGTTATCTTTATATGTTTTTTTAGTTTTTCGTAAACATACTAATATATTTTTACAATTGCTTGGTATCCCTCTATTTTCTGTTTGCGTATGTTGCGAGTTTGTTGTAGTACGTACAAAATCAATTTGATTATTCAAATAATTATCTACAGTTTTTTTTGATCTAGGTGTATATCTTGTGCGAGGCATTTTTGTTAATATTTTTTTGTTGTTAAAAAAAATATATATTTATATAATATCATTTTTTTTTAATTTTTTACAGATTTAAATATATAAAATAAAATGAGTGAAAATAAATTAACAAATATCTTGGCATTACATCTTGACACCTATTGGCAGCAATTTGCTAATTATTTAAACATGCATCGCTGTGTTATTGAAGCCATTGACAACGATTATGATATACAATATCTTAAAATATGTTGAGTCATTACGCTATTTTTTCAAGTTAATCCAGAAGAAAAATTTAATCCGCAATTTATATTAAAAACATTACAAAGATGGTTGATTGACGAACAACAAAAAAATAATTTTAAATTAATAAACAATTTAAACGAATTAATTAATAAAGTTAAAAATTTTGTAAAAGAACCCATGGAATATTAATTTTTTTACATTGTATAACATGTTGTAATTTTTTTTTAGATTAACTAAAAAACACAAAATGGAAGAAATATATGCAGAGGTAAACAAAGCCATCTACAGATATGGCAAACCTGTGGCAAATAATGTTGAATTTGTAAAACCATACGAGGCCATGTTTGTAGATGGAAACTCGGTTTATAATTTAAAAAACATCGATGTAATTGATGAAAAGGAGAACTACGAGATGGATGATGTCGATGAATACGATGACGATGATGACAAATACGATGATGATGATGAATACGATGATGATGACGAATATAATTATCTACATGATGATGATGAATATAATGATGATGATGGTAATAAAGAAAACGAACCTATGGAAATAGACAATTGACTTTTTTTAAACTATTTTGTATTTTTTTATTTTTAATGTCCCTTCAGTTTTATTGACTATCAGAAATTATTTTCTAATAGCCATTAAAACTGAAGGTATAAAAATAAAAAAAACAATGGAATAGAACTTTATTAATGTCCCTTTAGTTTTGAGTGTTTTAAGAAATTTAATTTCTTAAAGCAGCCAAAACTAAAGGTATAAATAAACAATGGAAAAACTTTTGTTTACAATTATTATGAATATGAGATTACTTTTTCTATTCAATAGATAAAGCAATTTCGTATTCATAACAATGTAACATATTTTACTGAACAGCTGTCATTGCAATCGATATATAATATAATAATTTGTATTTTTTACTTTTAATAATAAATATTTTTTTTTCATATTGTTTTTTTTATAATATGTTAACCCTATTTGACTATAATTTTACCTGTAATATTACATAATATTACCCATAATATTTAAAAAAAATTTTTATATTAATTTAATACTTTTTTTTAGCAACTAATTATACCAAAAAAAAATGGCTGAAGCTATTGATAAAGAATTATGTTATTATTGCAAGCTGCCCTTTACTATTGATCAATTACTAAATCATCAATTAAAATGTAACACATCACAAGATTATAATTGTTTTAGCTGCGGAAAAAAAATTAAATTGTCAGATACTTGGGAACATGAATGTGAAATTTATCACGAGGAACGCGTAGAAAGAAATCAAACTAAATTATGTGTATTTTGTGGAAATCAAATTCAAAAAAACTACTATGATCAACACGCTATTGATTGTTTACATCGTTTTGAAAATGAATGGAAAGAAGTAATGGAGAAACAAAAAAATATTATTATGGATCAAAAACAAAGTTTAACTTTTTTAAACATGACTAATAATAACATTCTAAACAGTTTAGCAACTGTCAACAAACAAATAAACGCATTAACCAAACAAATGGACAACATGGGTTTGGAAATAAAAGAATTTGTGAATAAAAAAACATTTGAAAAAATATTGAACAACATCAGCTTGGAAATGAAAGAATTTGTGAATAAAAGCACATTTAAAAAAAAATTGAAACTATATGATAATATATTAAATTATAATAAAGATATCAACGACAAATTCATGTCTGATAATTTAATTATAGAATTGGACCAAATGGATTTAAGATTGCAATCTAACGAAGCTTATCATACTCAACCTTCTTATACTGTAGACGGTTATTTCTACCGATTTAAAATTTTTGGTTACAGTAATCAAGAAGATAAAATGGGTATTTATTTTCAATTGATACAGTCTCCAAAAGATCATTCTTTAAAATGTCCGTTCATGAAAACTGTAACATGTACAGTTAAAAACGAATATATTGAAAACACAAAAATAATAGCCAATTATAGCGAACCGTTAAAAGAATGTTTTGAAAAACCTGCTCAAGCTTATAACTGAGCTATTGGAACAGATAATTTTGCAACGCATGAACAATTAAAAAGACATTATATAAAAAACAATAAACTTATTATACACGTTTCTTTTATATAATTTATTATGTATTTTTTTTTGTATTTAATTAATCATATAATTAATAAACTTATTATACACGTTTCTTTTATATAATGTATTTTTTATATTATATATTTTTTTATATAATGTTATATTTTTTTTAGAATAATAAAAAAATGAAAAGTTCAATCATGAGAGATTTAGCTGACTACATCACTACGTCTGATGTAAAAAAATTAAAAATGTTTTTAGAAATACCGTACGGAATAAGAGAGAAAATTAAAGACGGACTAGATTTAATGGAATATCTACAATACAAAGATTTTGTGTATCAAAACTATGAATACAATACTAACGAAGCTAAAATCAAACTTATTTTAAATTTGTTAAATGAAATCGGTAGAAAGGATATCTATAAAAAGTTTATAGTTAAATTTGAAAAACCACCATCATACGAAGAAAGTATAAATCCTCCACCGTATGCAGAACTGGATAATCGAGACAGATCCAATATAGATTTTCCAAACTTTAAAGTAGCAGATCCATTTTTGGCAATAAACGCAAAATGTAATACTCCGTCGTATTATCCGCCTGAAGTTATTTGTTTAAAACAAAAAGAACTTTTGAACTATTATAATAAAAAATAATTTTTTTAAAAAAATTTTTTATGTCCTTTTTTTTTAATTTGTATATATAAACTTTTTGTAAATACTTATTATATAAATTGTTTTTCTGCTACTAAGCAACATAAATTAGTCATGAAATCTTTTTTTAATATTTATATGGAATGTATAGATTGGTTATTTAAACAACATGAATATGTTATTAATCTTTATTTTAAACCTAATAGAAACGACATGTATGATTTTATTTAACTTTTTATTTTAGAATAAAAAAAATGAAACTAATTACTGGAGACGATCAAGACTTTTTATTTTTTAACAGAGAAGAATCCGATATAATGACAAAATTTTTAAATGTGGAACATGAAAAGAATAATGATCCATCAACATTGAAAGCGTTTGGCAATATATTATTAATGGTACAAGAAGAAGTTTTAAAACAAACAAACTATTTTAAAAACATTGAGAAAACAGAAGAAATTAAACGAGACTTTTATAATTTTGTAAAACAAGTATTATCAAAATAAATTTTTTTTTATTTTTTTTTAGATTCATAACAAAAAAAAATGAAACTTGTTAAAAATGATCAAATCAGATTTGTTAGTTACAACCCTCAAGAAGCAAGAGTACTAATAAACATAGCAGAAGACCGATACGGATCCGATAGTTGTAGAGTGTTGGCAGAATTTTATTGTATTGGTGTTACTATAGACGAAGAAATTCAAAAACGTACGAACAATTTTACAAATAAAGAACTCTTTGAAAATATCAATAACAGTTTTGAAAACTTTGTTAAAAGTTTATTATGAGAATAAAAACAAAATTTTACATTAATAAATTTTTTCATTTAATATATTGTCTCTTTCCTTTTTTATAATATGATAACATTCCAATACATCTTTTTGCAAATATAATCCTCCAACTAATCCTTTACAATAATAACACAATTGTTGAACTATTATTTTTAAACTATTTACATAGTTTATTTTTTTATACAATTTATCTATACACGTAAAATAATAATAAAATGTTTTTAACACATCAAGACAATGTTCAATGACTTCACTATAATTATGAAAACACGTGTCAGGATAAAATACGCGATGCGGAAGACATTTAAATAGCAAATCAAGAACTTCTATCAACTCTTTTTGATATGTCTTTATCAATTTTAAATCTTTAATATAAAAACCGTATACTCTTTTACAACTATCCAATTCGCTTTCTTCAGCTAAAAGAACTTTATCCATCCAAACACCTTGATTTAAATGCGTTTCCTGTAAATGTTTTTTTAAATCTAAATTAAGTTGATATAAATATAACAAACAATCGTCCGTCGCATCAAAAGACATTTTGATAAATGAATTTTTTATTTACATATATACAATTTATTTACAAATATATTTTTATATACAATAACAACAACCGCGGCACCGCTCAAATAAATCTTGTATGTACGGGCACACGGTTGTTGCGCAACAATGATTATGTTCGCTCTCTTCTCCTTTACATAAACAACAACCTATACATTCTCGATTATGTGCAAAATAACGCTCGTTTCTGTTCATTCTGTTCTCGTTTAAATGTCGATCTATTCTAATCATTACTCCATCGAGTATGCGAACTTGTTCTTGTTGATCGAATCTATTCATTATACTATCGAGTATTTCAACTTGTTCTAAAAAAAATTATTTTAAACTAATATTTTTTTACAAAAAAAATTAATATAATAAAATTTTTTAATTTACCATTGTCTATTTCTGGAATATCGTCGTAGATTTCCAGCTCATTTTCATACAAATATTCATCTGTTTCCTCAAGTGGTCTCGTTTCAACCACTTGAGGGACATAAATTTGAGGCGCTTTATAAACGTTTTCTACCACATAAGGTTTAACAATCTATAAAAAAATCACAAACACTTTTAAAAAAATACAAAACAAATTTTATAAAAAAAAGAAAATAATAAACTTACAGCTACAGGTTTTTCAAACAGTTTTCGCTTGACCTTATTTTTTTTATTTTCATCAATTTTTTTAACTTTACCCATTTTTTTATATTATAAAAAACAATTATATAATTTGACAAAATGCTTTTTATATTTTTTATAACGAATATAATTAAAAAGCATTTGCTTTTTATATATTTTTTTTATAACACTAGATTAACTTTAAACAAAAAAAATTTAGTTTTTTTTTTCAAACATTATCGGATTATAACGTTATGACGTTATCGGATTATGACGTTAGTTATGACGAAGGTCGGGATGGAGGGTTGGGAGGAAAGTGAGTAAATCCTATATGAGTATATCATCATATACATATATATATATATATATATATATATATATATATATATATATATATATATATATATATATATATATATATATATATATATATATATATATATATATATATATATATATATTGAAATATATATGTTATGAATCGCCTAAAGTGACAATAGGTTGGTAAGATAAAGAAAAAAATAAATTAAAAAAGATATCTGTACTACTAGATAACTTTAAAAGATGTCATGCACACCGCCATTAGTTATAAACATTTGTTTTAATTTTAATTTGATTTTGTTAAGAATTTTATGTGTTATAAGTTATTAAATATAAATTTATTATATATTTTTGGCCCTCTAATAGATTTTGAAAACTCCGTTACTGCAAAAAAATATTAGGCTGAATATAAGTGTTGCTAGAGCATCTGGTTGATTATCTATTTTTTTTATTATGAATTAACTTTAAACATAAAAATTAATAAATGATAAATTTTATTTGGTAGACAGTAAGGATTTTTTGCTTAATAAATAGTTCTTTGGAGTTTGTAAAAGGGTGTACATTAAATTATATTCTGGATAAATGTTT